GGTAGTATCTATTAACTGTGCAAATAACTTTAAGCTATCAATAAGTTGTTAGCTATGAAGATGGATAATTAAAGTATAGGTGTTTGATAAGTAGCTGTTGGCTAGCTGTTACATGTAAAAATTATTTTTTTCCCTAAAAGTATATTTTAAAATTTCAATAGCTACTATTGATTTTCTAAGGGCGTGTTCGGCAATAACTTTTGAGTAACTTTTAGGTAGCTTTTAGTGGTTTGACTTATTCAAACCATTACTTAGTAAAAAAAAAATATATATATATATATATATCTTAAGGAGGTTAAGTTGTTGAACAAGAAGTTGGCTTAGTTGGTAGTGGAGTGTTTGGCAATGTAGTGGTGAGAGTAAATGGTTAACTGGAGTAACTTTTGTGAAAAGTTAAAATTATTAGCTATTGTGAAAAGGTAGGTAGCTGTTGGAATTTTTCTTCTACTTTTTATAGAATTTTACAGCTAATAGCTAGTCAACAACTACTTTACTAAACACTCATACTTAATTATTTATTTCACAACTAACGCTAGTTGACAGCTAACAGCTACACATACAGCTAACAACTACCTTTACAACTACATTTTGCCGAACACGCCCAAAAGCTACCCCAACCATTACATTGTTAAATGCTCAAAATTTTTATGAAGTAATGGTTTGACCAAGTCTAACCACTAAATGCTACTTAAAAGTTAGCTAATGTCGAATACGGCCATAGTCAAATATTTTTATATTCGTCTCAATATGTAATTTATAATATCAATTTTTTACAATATCATTTAATAATTTCCGAAGAAGTGTAAAGAGATCAATGTTGGGCAGCAAAAAGAATCCGTTATTAAGATCTGGTTTATCATAGGAAGACATTGTTTAGCATTAGGTTGCTAGCTGTTAGCTATTGGCTTGTTTGACGGGAATTTTTTTTTTTTTTTTTTTTTTGGTGGGGGGGAGGGGGGTTACTGTTTGACTTTTTTTAATAATTTGGCTGTTGTAAGTAACTTATGTACCCAAAACCAAAAGCTACTCTAAGCATCTTTTTCATTTTGACTTAAAAGTCACCGAAAATTCATTTATCAAACAAATTTTTGCATTGTAAGTTTCACTTATCTGGGAAGGTTAGGGTAATTGACTTTCCATTTGCTAGAATGTGGAATTTCATCATATATATGTTTTTACCAATGAAACAAACAAACTTAATTTTCACTTCCTTAAAAAAATCAATTTCACATATCATCTTTGTATCAACCAAACGAACACTTTATATGTAATGGATGACATTTTGGCATAAAAGTTGGAGGTCAATGATTTAAGGCTATCAATAACTACTAACTTCGTATGAGAAAACAACCACATCTCCACCAAAAGACATGTCATTTACTATATCTTACGTGAGAATTATAATGCGCCGAATTATTTGTACAACTTCGTATTTAATAACTGAAAAGAGATGCATGATTTGATAGCTTAATACTCTGTATGTTATCCGATCCAACAATATATTCTTGTTTATTAGTAATTGTGAACTTATTTGTGACTCTTCAGGACAATAAGCAAAAACAGTAATCAAAATATCAAATATTCCATTTTACAATTTTTTATTTTAATGTAACAACCAGAAAAGTAGAAAAGGAGATCAATGTCCATGTTATGTTTGTTAGCAAGTTGTAACATATATATATATATATATATATATATATATATATATATATATATATATATATATATATATATATATATATATATATATATAAGTAAGATACAAGGAGGAGTTTAGGCATGTCTTCTCGCAATATCGTGGCAACATGCATATATATATGATACATACAATTTCATCTTTTTTTGGTTAATATTAAGTTCCTGTAAATGAACAAATAAATTAAAAAAATAAAATTATGTATCATATAATTAGTTGCATAATAAATAAATAGAGGTGAGAGTGTAAAACCAAGTCCTTTTTTTTTTTTTTTTTAATTTTTATAATTTTTTACTGATAATAGGAGAAATAATGAAAAAAAAAAGACTTCGTTCCAAATCAAACAAAAGAAACAAATTAGTGGAACAGTTTTAATCACTCACAAGTTAAAATTTTATGAACAGATGAAGTATATAATTTTAGAAAACCCGAACATACAATGATATAGGGTTGAAGACTTGAAGGAGGTATGTTTAATTAGAATAACAAATTCCCCGTGAATATAATAATGCAGCAGCGCCGTGTCGAGCCCCTATTTTAAGTGCGAATGGGTGGATGATCCCCAAATATATGCAATCATGATAATAAACCACTACATATACGATATACCTAAGCTAGCTAACTTGGCCTAGGACTATTTTCCCTTTTATTTTACCAATAATTCATTAGTGGAGGTGCATACAAAGTTATTTATTTGCATTGGCTATTGTTGGACCTCTTGTCTTGCTAAATTCTATTGGATGGTTTTGTATAGTGTAATGTGTATCAAGTTTCAAGCCCCCTCTTTAATCTATCTTCACTGCTACTCTGCTGCTCCGAGGGTCCTAATCCTCTGCTCTGTTCTGCTTACTTAATTTACTCTGCTGATACCTGCTCCGCTCTACTTGTCCAGAAACATAAAATAACAGGGGCTAAGTTACTACGGAGTAACTATTACTCCTTCCGTCTCATAATACTTGACACAGTTACCATTTAAGATATCTACTACTCAAAAAAAATCCTGATTATAAATTTAGATCATTTATCATGTCAAAAAAAAAAAAAAAAAAAGTTGATTTATAATACAAAATTTAAAGAGTAAAGTTAGATAGACGGTATAACTGGAAATGAAAAAAAGAATATAAGAAATTAAAGATAGCTAGATTATTTGGTAGGAGGGAGAAAAGTAATTTTCTTTTTTTGATGGAAGAAGGTTGAAAAGCAATTGAGGACTCGAGGTAATGGATTAGGAGAAATAAAAACGTGATTTAAGTTGTCATTGATAATTTTGATATGAAGTGTGAATACAAATTAAATAAGGAAAAACCAAATTGAAAAACATGTAGAACTAAGGTATAGAGATAGTAATTTATGACACCAACACAAGTTTAACTAATTAAATTCATCCAACTATTCTAATAATATACTTTTTATTTTTATTTTTTTGAAAGCTCTAATAATATACTTCGTACTTTGTATAAGTATAGTTTATATAGAAAGTTGTAAAGGCAAAATATCATAAATGAGTTAGTCTCATATGAACTTATTATGAGATTACAACGACTCTTTAAGTCAAGTCTTTTTATCTATTCAATTGCACTATTACATAGTAATCGACTAAGTACTTCTTTTATTTTATTTTTGTAAGGTGTGAAATTTCATAATAATTTGATGTGATTAATGGTGTAATGAGTCTAACCTACTCACGAGCATAGTTGTTAAAATTCTGATCCGGATCTTACGATCCTACGATGCAAAATTGTGTGATCGATCCAGATCTTTGGTAGGATCTTAAAATTTGTAGGATCTTACGATCCTACTCCGATATTAATTATGAGTGGTAGGATCTCAACACGATCCTACGATTATATTACGATCCTACGATCCGATCCAACATTTCACTATAATATGAGACTTTGATTTATTTTGACATATTTTTTTTATTACTCATTAGGTTGTATGCACCTAAATTTAAGGTATTCAATAATTATCACTAATAAATTAGTAAATCCGAGGCATTAATATGATTTTATCAATTGACAACTTGCAATTGTTATAGTTAAGGTCTCATTCTTGACAAATTTGCACATAATTTATCAATTTAAATGTGTGTTATTAATCTTCTAACTACCATACAGTCAAATCTAAATGAAGGTCGACCTTTCTTAAGCAAACCAATATCTTTTAGCATTGAAACCCCTTAGAAAAAATGTTTTTAAGTAATTTATAGCATAATATATAATATTGTTCATTATTAAATAGGATCTTACGATCCTACGATCCGGTTCTATCGATTCAATCCCGCCCCCTCTCATCGATCCAAGGTAGGATCCCGATCTTAAAAACCTTGCTCATGAGCTACTCTTAACTCTATTAAGGGAAAAATGTGTGTGATTCAAAACTTAAAAGAATTGAGAAAAACATAAAGCTCATGATGAGTAAGCTTGAATATATATAGATCATATAATGATCGAGACAATACACTATTCAAATAAAAAAATATATTATGAGACAATACAAATTATAAAAATATCCATTAAAATTCTTTCATAATTAGCAAAATTTAGAAGTTTAAAAATATTTGCATTGGTTCGTCTGATATGTCAGAAATAATTTTTTTTAAACTTATTTTATTTTATGTGAACTTATTACATTATTTTATTTAAACTTATAACTTATTTTATATTTTCTAAACTTATTTTCTTTAAATTTACTAAAATAAGATGAAACAAACAAGTTATTTCGCTTTAGCTCAAGTTAAGTAACAAGTCAAACCAAACCATGAAAAAACAAGCAAGAAAGAGAAATTGTTTGCATGGAGCCAGAAAAGTAACTAATGTGACATCGAAAAAAATAGGAAAATTTGTGATGAAGGTCCTTTTATATAGACCTTTTTGTTTGAAAGATCCTTTTATAAAAATGGTGGCACAAAAGGTCATTATATCGTGTTTGGGTTGTGGCGATGGTCCTTTGACCATTTTCCGGTGTTGATTTTATTTCCCGGACAAAAATTAAGCTAATGGTTAAAACTCAGGATCGACTTGTATACAGATATACTCTATCACAGTATCACGCTCTCTCACATAAGTATGTAGATGCGACATGAATCCCCTTATCCAGCGCTAAATATTCCACAATAATGACGCTGATGATTGAAGCTCGATTTATATACTCCGTCAATAATAACCAAACCCAAGGCTAATTAATCTCAGGTCGTTAACACCCCTAAATACGAGCACGAGACGCAGACACCTGTCATACCCAAGACAAGTACAGTACAAACATATTCAATTGTTCCATAGACTATTAACAAACGGTGAGAGGGAAAGAGAGAGAAAGAACCAAGGATTAAAAAAAGTGAAAGTGGGATTTGCTGTCTAGTAATATGCATCGTGGATTGGGCCTCTAGGGATTCCCTCAATCTATTCCCCTCCGTATTCTATTACCTAAAGGAATGTTACGTAGTGATGCCTCTCTTCTTTCTCGAACCTAGTGAGATTCATCTGTTTTTCTTTGCTTTTTCTTCTCTGTCTTCTTCTTCCATTTTTTGAATTTATATGTCTTCACTACTAATTTAAATCATCCAACCCTTAACCCCGAACCATCACGTGAATTTATTTCATCTTATTTACAAAGTGTTTATTTTCTTATATATTAAAAGCAACAACAACAACAAAATAAAAATAAAAATAAAATCCTAGTGCGCGTCGACCTCGACACTAATTAAGTAATTGCGGGCGGTATTTAGACGATTCACTTAAATAATTAAATCTTTACTAGGACTACCAAGTATTTAAATCAATCTCCCACATTCCATACTACCTGTTCTTTGTCTGTTTACTTGGTGAAAGAAAATGCTGGGAAACTGTGAGAAAATGGTGCTCATCTCTTCAACTACTAATGAATGGACACAGGTTTTTTTTTTTCTTTCTCTTTCTATCATTTTCCTTCTCTCTCTTAGGCATTTCGTCGAATAATACACATGCATTACATACCCACTATTATTTTTGATTGGGACCCCATTTGTTTTTTGTTTTCTAGCTTTTGGAAGAGTATCTTATAAAACTTCTTATGTGGGTATTATTAATTTCAGCCCTAACAAAAAACCCACAAAAAAATTTATTAATCTCCCATTTTTTTTCTTTCTTTTTTTGGTTTTTGTTTTGTGCATTTATCTTACAGATAGATGATCCAAAAGGTAGCAGCTTCAACAACAACATGGCTTCAGTAGCAGCAGCAGCCGCCGCGACAATAGGAACTGATAGAATGGATCAGAAAGTCGCAGTGATTGCACAAGATCAGCACCTCCAGCAGCAGCAGCAAAAACAGCAACAGCAGCAAAAACAGCAACAGCATCAGCAGCAACAATTACAGCAGCAGCAGCAAAATCAGGAGGCATTAAGATGCCCGCGTTGCGACTCGACGAATACAAAGTTCTGCTACTACAACAACTACAGCTTAACACAACCCCGGCATTTCTGCAAGGCGTGTAAGCGGTACTGGACTAGAGGAGGTACTCTAAGGAATGTTCCAGTAGGTGGTGGTTGCAGAAAGAACAAAAGAGTTAAACGACCGCCTAACAACATCAATAGTTGTTCTTCAAATACATCTATTACTAATAACAATAGTTGTCTTGAAGCTTCTGTTAATTCAGCTTCATCTGCTGCTGCTGCTGCGGGGGGTGGTGGTGGTGGTGCCGGTACTGGGTTAAGCTCACTCTCATCTGGAGGTCCTCAGATTCATGATCTAATATCTTCGGGTTCGAACCATCATCACCAATCATTGTTGTATGGGTTAACCAACAATTCTGACATTAATTTTCCCTTTTCAAGATATGATCTTCAAAACCCACCTCAAATGAATGGTGTTGGATTAGGGTTTTCATCTGGGTTGGTTCATAATATGAATAGTATGAATATTCATCAAACTCAAAATACCAAACAAATTTTCCAAGATTTGATCTCATCAAACCCATTATTTTCCAACTATAATAACACATCAACTTCCACTACTTCCACCACAACACCATCCACTATATCTTCCCTTTTAGCTTCTAGCCTTCATCAAATGAAGGGGGCTAATTATAATAATAATTTTCAGACATTATTGCCCTCTTATGAAGATGATCTCAACATGAAGGGAAATGGGCAAAATGGTCATAATGGTAGTGGAACGTTTACCAAGGAAGTTAAGATGGAGTTTGAGAGGCAACAAAATAGGTCAATTGATCATCATAATCAATGGAGTCATACTCATACTCATAATATGATTGATCATCACTCACAACCTTCGATGGCGTCGCCGTCGTCGGATCAATCTAATATTATGTGGGGTAATGCAGGAGCTTGGCTTAGTCCTTCAGACAATCATGGTTCTTCTGTTCCATCTTTGATCTAAGCTAAGAACTCTTTTTTCATCATCTCCCTCTTAGTTCAAAAAAAAAAAAAAAAAAAGTTGGTAAGGCCTTTTTTTCTTAGAAAGTTAATGGGATTGGTCTAGTACTTGGTGAATTTTTATACCACATACAAGGGGAAACTTAATGGTATACGGGAGTATGTAATTCGGTTTGGATTGGATTGGATTGGATCGGCGTGTTCATGTCAGCAGCAGCTAGATATAGAGAAAGTGTTACAACCTTTCTAGGGGCTTTGCTTTGCATTGGTTGAGCACTACTACTCGTACGTTTGCGCTGAGAGGAACCTCGGATCCGATATCGCCTTCCGAAGACGATGATGACATGGATGCAATGCAATGCTCGTCTCATCAACAACAACTGCACATTGGGAAATAGAGAGCTAGAGATCCACTACTACTGGCACAACAGGAGAGGGTATACTTTGATGGATGCAATCAATCAACTTTCATAAGGTTAATTCCCAAATTAATTAAATTGATGAGTTTTCATTGTGAGTTTGTCTTCTTTGGTATTATGTATATATAAATGCATCATGACATTGTTCTACTACATTCCATTGTACTTTGTTTAACTTAAAATGAGTTAATTTAGTTTTGTTGTTAATTAGAGGGGTTGGGGTATATGGTAGAGGTCCTCAATTAGACCTTTAATTTAGAATGAGGAACTGATACATTTTTCTTTTATTTTTTTTATTGTAACTTTTTTTTTTTTTTTTTTTTTTTTTTGGTGTTTATTTTTTTTCTTTTGTGGGGAAAGGTTTGGTATAATGGTATAGTAAAAGAGGGAGATTGGTTATTCAATGTGGTTGTTTTGAATTATTGAACTTAATTATGTCCTTGTGATTCCTTTTTACTTTTGTTTATTATTGTTTTTATTATCCTGTTAATTAATTTATAATGATTAATTTTCTCAACATAATGGCATAATTAAGCACCTAAACTTGAAACAATGTATGATCCTAATTCCTAATTAACTTTACTAAACAAGTGTATTAAATTACATTTGCTCTATTTTGGTTCTATTATTGATAAACTTGTGAATAGCCTAATCTGTAAAAAGAACTCTTATGGTGTCTGATGCATTTTAGCTAGCCTCCTAGCTAGGATCTTTGCTTAATCTGTAAAACAGATAATTGAATAAGAGGGAAAAAAAAGCCAATTCATGAGAGGATTCTTGCATTTTTTTTAGCTACAATCTAATTTCTAGATTTACCATGACATGCAATTTGTACTTGTGTGTATGATAGACAATAATTGGATCTGTACTTAATATAATGAAATATCAATATAACATGTATTGTTAATTATGTCATGGGCGAGTTCTCATGTTCCTTTTTTTCCTTACCTAGCTTGAACTAAAAAAAATAGCTAAATTTTTTGTCTATATTGTGTTATTGTCACATTTTTATTGGCAAACAACAAAATTTTCCTGCCAAAATTGCTTTATCTTTTTTTGTTTTCCAAAAATAATAGTGAGTCAATAGAATTGCCAAAAATGAAATCTATCAAGTACACTTTTGATGTTTGATTGATTTTTGATTTTAATAAATGATGGTATTAGAGATGAATTTTTATCAACGAAAATCTCATGCAAAGTCCTAGGTAATTTGGTAATGGAACTTAATATTCCAATTCATATAAGTGTATATTCTTTATAATTATTAGCAAAAAATCACGTATATTAATTTTCTTTTACCACTATATATTATTGCCTACCAAACAAAGGGTGAATCGGGTAGAACAAAAAAAAAAAAACCAAGTATAGTTTAGTATACATATGTCCTTCGAAAAATAATTATTCTAGCAATTGCTAACTGATAAGAAAATTCAATTTTTTTTTACAGTAATAGGAAATGAAATTGCTAACCGTTATCATCATTCCAATTAGTAATCCACGCACTATGACCATTCAATGAGAAAAAGAGGATGTAATCTTCTATTTGAGACAAAATCATTGAACAAAGTTTCATATGTCAATATGTCAATTTTAACTTTTAATTGAGTTAGGATGTATTCACATATATAGCATCATTCCAAAACAAAAACCCTATTTCACCAGTGAAATATCTAACAATTTAAGCACAAGGTACAAAAGGAGGATGTACTGGCTTATGCACCATGCATCCACCTTCAAAACCAATGGGGATGCATTAACTTCAATTCGCACCATCCTTTCATTGTAGCATGCAAAATTACTCCCATCCTATCAATATAGTCCAGATAAATTAGGCTTAGTTATCTTCAATCTTTTTTTTTTTATTTTTTTATTTTTTTTTACCAAAGTTAATTAATTTACTACTCCATTCAATTTACTAATACTATAACATTTTTGTGTAAGTTTAACATAATACAAACTTATTAGTAAATTTGCAGAAGTACAAACCCCTAATTAGAGATAGATAAGAAGGGAGTGATACATTAACAGATGATCTATCCACATAAAATAGGTGATACATCTACAAAATTGTGTTTTCTAGCTCATTACTGATGTTGAGTTATTTTCCACTAGCTTAGATCTCCAAATTGAAGTTCTCTGATTATATTGGTTATGACTAGGGGTCGTAAATTATTCTTACATTAGAGTAAACATGTATGTGCTTATGAACGGAATTTATCCAATTTACAAACAAACTAAATCTTGACATATTAGAAAAAGAAAGTTCGCAATAGGTAGTTATAATTTTATTTATTTTTAAAACATTCAAGCTAATTAAAGTTTAGAGTGCTATCGTTGAAAGTTAACAAAATGACTCCTAAACTAATATACAGTAGATCATATTTGAACGCGCACCAGTCTTACTTCATAGCTAGAGGCATCTAGCTTAATCATACATGAGTATACGATTAGAGTGTCTATAGTACAAAGTATGTTACTGTAATAGAGTCGTATTAGCCAGGCTCATCTAGAATAACTTCTTATTTACTTGGTTGGGGAACTAAGAGGGTATTAAATAATATTGTCTTAAAATTAGATACTCCATACAATTTTTTTTACTTCCATATTTCTTTTTTTGGACTTACACCCTATTTTGGGAAATGAGGAGGACAAGAGCATTAAACGATAGAATGTAAGTGTGTGAAAAATGCATGGTGGTTGGTGCTGTGGCTAGCATGCTGTTGTCTAAACATAGAAGTGAATTTTGGAGTGAATTTGTCTTTTTATACTACACTTACTTTGTGTATATAGGTATGTATATATATTTTTTTTAAGGTAAGATAAAAGATTCTATTGAAGCGGGACCTTTTACAGATTTAGCCGGTTCAGCTTCGCAAGTCAACGCTTGAGAATAGAGGGGTGAGGTAAGGGAATCTCCCTACTCCCAAACACTTTTGTAGCTAGTAAGACTCGAACTCGTGACCTCAAAGTCACAAAATAAGTTCCCCATTAACTCCACCATGTTTTACTTGATTGTATACTAGTATGTATATAATACACCACATATATACAAGTATATGCAATATGCTACTTGTATATATTTGAAATGAATGAAATAGGTAGAAAATAAAATATGGACCCTATTTCTTGTAAAAGCTGCTGAATTAAAAGCTCCATTATTTATTCCAACTTATGGCTTTGTACTTGGGGCACATTTGCATGCCTGACAAAACTGCTGACATTAAATTTATTGTGCTTTCATTTTAACTTGCTGTGTTTACTTCAAGTTTTCCTCATGCTCACTACTGTTTTGGAATCATCAACTCTGTGATTAGTTGCTTATTTTTACTCCATTTTTTTTTTTTGAAGAAAATATTATACTTCATTTCATGCCTACAAGGAATGACTAATATGAGAAATGAGAGTATTCATTATACACGTTGTCGTCTAACCTTCCTCCCTTATTTTTTTCCCCCTAAAGCAAACAATTATTGTTTTAACTTTCTAATTATCATTATCATCATACTATAAAACTGAAAGACTTGGAAATTTGTTAATAAAGAATTGACAACATACTTATTTCAAACAAGAATCAAATTAAGGGCCATTTCTCCAGGCCAAACACTTCTTATTAACTCTTTTTTGTACTCCCTTCATCTCATTATATTGTCAAATTTCAAATATGGGACAAGAGATTTGAATATAGTTAAGTTTTCAATGATAACCGGAAAAAAAAAATGTACTACAAAGCTCAATTTTAAGATGGAAAACATCACAATAAATAATGTTACTTTTTTTTTTTTATTCTTATAATATGACAACTAAAATGAGATGGAGGGAATATAACTCAATACTCATTTTTAATACTTGTATGAATATTTCTTGAGGATTTCTCAACCTCTACTAAGTTGCGTCCTCTTAGACTCTACTAACTGACACTTTTGGCGGTATTAGTTTGGTATTGTTTTTAATGTCGTTGGTATACCAACAACAATCAAAGCAAACCTAGTTAGTATTCTTCTTTGATACCAACGAACTCCTAATTGGTATTTCTTTTGATACCAACGAACTCCTAATTGGTATTTCTTTTGATACCAACGAACTCCTAATTGGTATTTCTTTTGATACCAACGAACCCTTTATATAATACTAACTTTTAATATCAACTAGTGTTCACTCGTTTTTCAAATAATGACTTTTATCGGTACTAGTTATCACAACTCTACTACTTATGTATCGAAATAAATTAACATAACAGTTTAATAGCCCACCATGCTTCACAATGATAATTATTTAACTAGAGAGTTTTGACCAATACCTGAACTTAGTCGACAATGGAACTTCTGGCGTTCTGAGCTTTCGGCTTTGCCAAGGTAGCTAACCCTAACCCTGTCTTCCTTAGATCAAGCACAACACAGATCTAATTCGTTTCCTACCTTAGACCGTAATCTCTAATCAAACAATTCTTATTGTGTTTATGATGGAACTTCTTAAACCAAAAGATAATTCATTTGATATATAAGGTTCGAGGGGATAACGTTCCCTTCTTGAATGAAACTTTTATTTAATTTGAAAAGATAAAAAGACTCATATATTACAACACACTGACTGAAAGCTTAAACAGACATAAGCTGAACTAGAGTTTTCTCTACTTTAAGAGAGATGGAGAACCAATTTGTCTCTTAAGGTGAGTATTTTTCTCTAGAGGACTCTCTAATGCTTTCAGAGGAATTCTCTAGCTAACTCTTCCAACTCTGCCTTCACTTCTTTGCCTAATGCCCTTTATATAGGGGAAGGTTTACACAGATTACCGACACCTTCTATGGCTTACAGCAAGCCATGACTTAGCCAGTGAATCTCGTCCACTACTTTTCTAAACACTCTTTAAAACAATTAAAACGTGGCTACAACAGTGAAAGTAGAATACATAACTGTTGGTGTGGGCTCAATAATCCATTATCTCGTCCATCATCATATCTTGTATACCACCCTCGTACATTTGGTTGTCTTCTTCTATACCGAGATCCATCACACATTTGGCAGCATAGGATTCATCCCATGTGACAAAGATCTCCAATAAGTGCTATTTTCCCTCTAAGGATAAATATCTTCCAGTTTCAACTTGTTCAAGATAATCATACACTAATTCACCATGTAATACTCCTTCTTCTAAGTAATTTCTTAACCATTCTGGCGCTACTGTTGTAGTATCCCCACATGTATTATGACTGGTGGTTCTTCCTTTATTGCTATGAAATGGTTAAGATACTAAGCAATATAGAAAAATCCATAAGCTCTTGCCTCCGTAGGATCTTTTACTCGTTTCTGCTGGATATAGATTGGATCTTTGACTTTGTGATGACATCTTCAAACATGATTAGGAAATGTTGAGAGCTAACTTTTCCTTCAACCATTTTGATGTTTGCACTTTGCACTTGGACTTGTTCAACTCTTCCTTTGTATCTTGTTGCATCATA